TTTCACAAAGGTGAGAGAGAGCGTTATAGTTACCTGCTGTTATGCTGGTGCAGAGCTGCTACTTCTAGAAGCATAACAAAAGAAGATCGCTTGCACCATAAGCACATCCCATACGCGTGCACAACTTCCTCCTAATTCTGAGTGAAGCCACAGGCAATCGAAAAGTACATCGGTGTAGGAGAGTGGCTCAATAGAAAAAAGTCTTTACATTTTTTTTTCATGAAATATGCAAATGAAATGTTATTTAACATTTTCGTGATTGTTGTGGAGTTTTGCAAATAAACGCTGCCTGAAAAGATGTTCCAACTTTGCCTGTGCACAGCCTTAGCCTGTTTTTTAATTGTTTTTTTTGCAATGTGTGAAGTGATCACAACTTGAAATTACGACGCAGCTGTAAACACACAAGAAAGGTAATCTGTATCTCTGTATGGTGCTTATTGTTTCAAGTTTTTAGGGTTCCTTTGTTCAAATACGTAGCCCTATACACTTGGATGGGGCCGTTAGAGCTTCGTTTCTCACGCAATAATCGCGCTCAGACAAAAGAAATCCAGGAAAAAGTTTTTTTTTGTTCCTTAGCTGTTATTCTCGCATTTTGTTCAGTTTTTACATGCGTATGCTACATGATGAAAACATCAATGTAAATATTATAAATGTTAACGTATGTCCCATATCGAACTGTCAAATGTCTACACGCGACTATCGCCCTCACTGCTGCACAGCTGGCGCGTGCCACTACAACGTTGATTTCAAAGGAGAATCTGAACATCCTAAACAACCTTCTCAAAAATAATGTGTGTGACCGCTGGACACGGCTCGTTCGGGGTGTGTGCACCCGTCCAGGCCTTTTCCGGACCTTGATGGGCGCACGGAGCGGAAGTGGGGGAGCGGGGTTTCCGGATGAGTCGTCCCCTGTTCTTTCTGTCATTGAAGCGTTGGTTGGGGCTTTAAGCTCGTCGGCTGTGGGTGAAACGTAGTGGCAGAAGACACGCGAAGGTGGAGCAGTTCCTCATTTCCCGCACAGTCACGCAGAAGTGTATAGAGCCACTGTGACTAGCCTTTCCCGCAGTTTGTGACCACCCTCATGGCAAGTACGTGCGCCCACATTCATTCCCTTCATTTCCTATGTACCGGGCTAGTTTGGGTCCCTTTGCGCTTATTTATTTCGCTTATTATCTAGCGTGGCACCATACGTGGCATTAGAGTATACTTTTTATACATTGCTTTCTTCGGGCTTTTTTTTTTTCATATATGTATGCCGGCCACTTCACACTTTCTTTTGGAGGGAGGGGGGGGGGGGCTGTACAAAAGCGCTAATACTCGTCAGCAGCTCTCAAACACACCAACAGCGAACGTACCATATCTGCAAAAATTTTAAAAAAAAGGTAGGGGGGGAAGAAGGTTGCACTATCCATGTAAAGCTAAAGAAACAACGAAGCTGGCTGGTTGTAGAAGTTAAGCTGTCTTTTTGGCTTGTGCAAAATATTTTTTTGGAGTAGACATAGGCAAGTCAAACCACGGCCTGTCAAAGACAATGCAAAAATGTCGAAACTTCAGTGCCAGAACTTACGCGCAAAGCGGGCTACGGCCACCCCTGTAGAAGCCCGGATTATTCGTCCCGGGTAAACTCGGTGCGGCGGCAGCTTGCAGTCTTCGTCAGTGGGTATGGCTCATGAAAACAAAAGATAGAGGGTGTCCTTTTTTTTTGATGCCCCACGTATCCCCACGAGCTTTAGGAGCTTAGATTTCAAAGCAGGACTAAAAGGTGTGCCAAGAGTAACAAAAATCAGTAAATTATTGCAGTGGGAACATGGGGATGAGTTACAGGCACTATGTGTTTAGTACTAGATAAAGTAGCGTGAAGTCATTACGTTTCGTGTGTTTGAAGTGAACCGATGACCTCCCCGAAATGAACTAACGGACATGCTTGAAATAAAGCCCCGTTAGCTTTCGCCTACATACGGTAACAACGGTTTTTATATGATTATTCCCAGTAATTTGGGCTCTTTTCCAGTGATTTGGACACGTAATAGAAAACGCTTAGTTTGCAAGATTGACTACAGTTTGAGATGCTTCCCAACCCATCCTAGTATGGTTCGCTGGAGCACAAGGGGGATGGCAAGAAACGCGAACAGCGTGGCACACTGTTTTCACCACACTCTGACCTTGTTGTCAATAAAAAAAAAAAGACTATAATGATTCTTGATTGTATCTTGGGTCGTTTTAGTAGTTTATTATCCCCATCCAGGCTAGAACCACTCGCAAAAAAAGGCGACAAAAAAAGAGAATGTAGAAGCCGCACTGTACGCTTTTTCTTCCACCCTCATTGTCTGTTAGGCACGAAATTGAAGTTTGCAACCTCCAGCTGACAAGCCCTCAGAACAAGACAAAACATAATCTTGTAGCACCAGTCCATGAAAGTGGATTCGGGGTTATGGTGCTCGAATGCTGAAACAAACGTCGCTGGTTGGACCTCAACCATGGCGGTCGCATTTCGTTGAAGGCGAAACGTGATAGGCCCGTGTACTGTCGATATCACTGCATGTTTGAGAACTCCAGATGGCTAAATTTCGGGAGCCCTCCGCTATGGCATCTTTCATAATAATAACTCGGTTTTCCGAAGTAGGACCCCAGATAATATTATTAACGTCTGGGCTTCCCATGATGCTGGACACATGTCGCGAGTTCATCGGTAAGATTCAAGCAGCGCAGGCCTTCAACTTGGACTATAGCCTAAAGAACCCCAGGGGGTCGGAATTTCCGGAGCCCTCCACTACGGCGTCTCTCATAATCATATGGTGGTTTTGGGACGTCAAACCCCACATATCAATGATTAGACTATAACTGATTGATATGTGATGGATATGTGGGGTTTAACGTCCCGAAACCACCATATGATTATGAGAGACGCCGTAGTGGAGGGCTCCGGAAATTTCTACCACCTGGGGTTCTTTAACGTGTACCCAAAGCTGAGCACACGGGCCTACAACATTTCCGCCTCCATCGGAAATGCAGCCGCCGCAGCCGGGGTTTGATCCCGCGCCCTGCGGGTCAGCAGCCGAGTACCTGAGCCACTAGACCACCGCGGCGGGGCAACTTGTGGTTACTCAAGGTTCAACTCTTGCAATCGTACGAGCGAGACGCGCCTAGTTTAGTCTGCTGCTTCTCATCTATGTGCATGAAAGCGTTGGAAAGCGGTTCTGTATTTTTGCGGTAAAATTTACCTAGCCGTCACTCTGCCTGCTATTCGTTCGATTTCCAGAAAGCACGCAAATTGTATGGTTTTATTTATTGTCACAGTCTTTCGCAAGCTCACACTGTTGAGCCCATGACAATTTCCACATACTGCTCGCTGTAACTGGCCGCTAACAGATAAAGTTATTGAAGTTTGATGAAGCGACTATTCTAAGCTCGCCTTTGTGACCATCAGATATCGGCTTATTAAGTAAGCCGAAGGCCGGCTTTGTAATAATTGATTTACGGTGCGAGAACGAAAAGCGCGAAGGGTAGCGACTCGCTAGCGCACGCCGAGTGCAGGGGCGCAGAAGTAGCAGATGACGCGGGGCACGCACCACCTTCACAAAACAATGCGCTTGCGCCGCATATCGATATCTCGCCAGCAGCTGGCGCTGCGAAAACCACCGGCCAGGCGCTCGCGTGTTCCCTCTAACAGTGAGTCCTACTGTACGTAATAAAGTGTTGAGACAGGGTGCAAATAAAATTGATGTTCAAGCAATTAAGTATCATTTGCAGCAAATTTGTATGAACAGCAATGTGGTATACAGGTAGGGCGTTATGCGGAGAAATTCGCGATATGCTCATGCGATCGCACCTTGCCATACTACAATTTGGGGTAGAAAGAATGAGTAGAGCTGTGCAAAACTCGGAGCTCGTCTAAAATAATATTAGGGTAATGCCCTACCCTACAGAGGCGAAATCTAGAAAGAATACGGGGTTAACGTTAGGTCGTCAAGGCGAACATTTCTATCGTGTGGCCACTTAAAGTACTTGACATTGATAGCGATCAGCGGTATAGTACTCAGAGAAGCTTCGGTTGAGTGCTCAGTCAATTTCGCACTTTCTCAATAAGCTTTCACAGCGCAGTTACTAATAGAGAGCGTGGGTTGACAACGTGTGATGCTCTCCTCACTGCGTTACGCATGACATCACTGGGAGAGGAGACAGAATAGATTGCCTTCCACCCTCCCGTTTAGGTTTAGGCGCACTGCAAGCTCGAAATTTTCATTGATTCTATCTTCTCATTTACTTCTTTTTATTGCAGCCTTTGTAATTGACGAAGCTATGAGAGGTAAGGGACTCGGAGTGTGGCGAACAGCAGGTCACTCAGCAGTAATACACCGAGCTGGGTAAGCCACCTGTATCTCATTGGCTACATCCATTACCTAGATTGAAACGGGTCTAGCGCGTTAGGCTGCATGTTTGTATCATCATGAAACAATGCTGCTGGAACGAACGAAGAAAGAAAGTAACAAACAAAGAAAAGAAAGAAAAACGCAAGCAAGAAAGAAAGACAGAAAGAAAGAAAGAAAGAAAGAAAGAAGAAAGAGAGAGAGAAAGAGAGAGAGAACCGCATGTGAACTCACGACTCTTCAGCCTTGAGCCAGATGCTCGAACCACCAATTATCGTCGTCATCAAGAAGCAGCAACCGTATGCGTTCTGCAATGAGATCGCATCCGGACCCTTAACAGCATAACACTGCGTAACAGCTCTGGCTCTAATAACAAACCAAGTCTGTGACCTCTGTTCTAACTGCGATGCCTCCTCCCGTTCGTGGTGCTGTTTTCTTCTTGTTTACGTTCTAAATCATAGGGCATGCGCTATGTTCAGCAGCGTCACTTATGACAGATAATCGCCAAATAACTCTGGACACCATGCTGGTATCGTATTCACTGGCGTCTTCCTTAAGTGTACCGCGGGGTCATAAAGGTGCTTATACCAGCTTTACAAAGCAAGGGCGTTTTAATCGGAGGTTCTTCTAGACATGGGGAGCGACCACAGGCCGTCGACACGATCTTTTATAGAGCGCCAGGGTCAGTGTAGTCTAACGTGTCTGAGTCTCTGGGCTTCGGAAAAAACTCAGTGACGTCTTTGGTGGTTTCCTTAGCCAACTTGGCGGCCCATATTTTTTTATTTTTCTGGTCATACCGTAGCTATAAAATATTTGCACGTCGTCGCAATGCACAGTCACATTGATGCTACTGTAATTTTCGTCCTGGAAGAGTCATTTGTCTGGCTTCAGTGAAACTAAGACGGGGAAACGCGTCTGTTGTTGTACGGGCATTTTCATCTACGCACGTGACGTATATACAAACTGGCAGAGATGCAGTCCTATCGAATGGTCCGTCGCGTTAGCTGTAATGTATCCGTACTCACGCACTTATATCGTTTCTAGAAATCAAGAGAAGCATCACAATAATTAAAAACGTGTTTAGAAGCAGCGACTGACAAAACATTTCTGCCAGTTTCGTCGCTCATTGTTCAGAAAGAACTAGCTGAGGCTATTTCGTACATCAGCGGACGTTTTACATTAAGAAGAGAACGCTGTGAGTAGCACAATGGGCACGGGACATTTTCGTGCAGCCCATTTCAAATTGACCGCTGCAGACAGAGCTTACCGTGACTATTGTTGAAGAGAGGGCACCACCATTCCGCTCAACTTTCATTTTGGAGAATTAGAACGTGCCGCAAGTCCATTCCTTCCAATTCCTCCGACTGGAAAAAACTTAGCCCATTCCCACTACGAGATTGGCTGGAGTTCAATGTCCCAAAACCACCACATAAAGATGAGATATGCCGTAGTGGAAGCCATCAGAAATTTGGACCGCCCGGGGTTTTGTAACATGCACCTAATATTAGGCACATGGGTCCCAAGCATTTGCGCTTTCATTGAAAATGCGACCATTTAATTTAATTCCTCTAATTCCTCAACATGGGAAAGGTAGCTTGAAAGTTTCATATCAGTTAAAGAAGGAAAGCTTATGTCACCAGATGCATGAGGAACCACAAGGGTACGCAAAAGAAGTTACCAAGGTAGCTTGGTTACATATCTTCACCTTACAGCAGAGTGAACGCGGGTTTTATTCGGCGTTAATTGTAGTGTTGGGACTCGGGGAGGCGCTGCCATGACCAGGGTTAGGAGGGTTCTCCCGCTCCCCGAACCAATGTTTTGAAAACTTTATCATTTCTTACTTTCTGTGGGTAGCGGGGATACACAGCACACCGTATATCCGTACAATGGATACCAACGGCATAGAGCCATGGTTACGCGAAAAATACAAACTTTGGAGCAACATGCATGGTCAATATAAGGACAGAATTGTAGTATATAGGTGCGTTGCTTATAAATGTACCTTGCTTGTAATCAGCCAAGCCACTTCTAAAGTACTGCTTTATCTTTAAATTCGAGGCTTTGTCTCACCAATGTTTCAACTCTTAAAATCAGCACGAAGAAGAAAAACTGCTCCATTTTCGGAAAAGGACGCAATTTCATTGCTATTCCATTCCGTGCAGGAGGCCCTATTGTTGTCCCTATTCCATTTCCATTTGATTGCGGTGTCACTATGTTGTGAGTTGATTCCGGAGTAATTTCAATTCCGGATTGGCAACTCCGTAACCCTGTGGCTCGACTGGCTTGTTAGCCGAGAGTCCGTACAGCGCAGTGCGTTGGCGCGTTCCACATGCCACCTGAGAAAGGTCGGCGTTCATACGGCGCTTTATTTTCATTTATGGTCGATGTTCTCACTGGATCTATTATGATTGCGTCATCAATGACCAAACGGCCGCACGCAAAAGTGTGGAGCGTGGGTGGCCGGCCGCCACGGAATCTGTCGTTTCGCTCCTGTCCTTCTCTCCATCTCTCACTCTTCTTGCTATCACCATTTCTCATCCTCCGCTGTACTCCGCGTCCTCTCTCTTTCGTTCTCGTTCACGCTATCGGTTACGTCGACGCATCCCGACGCATGAACTAAAAGGTGCCCTGTGTGGCTAATTTGTAATTTTGATTTAGCACTCGTTGGTGGCACACAGTGAACTATATTTCTTTACTGGATGAAATATGCTAGTTGGCCACAGTAAAGTAGTGCCGATCATTTCTTTTCGCTTAGCGCATAAAACATCATAACAAAAAACACGAAAGGTGAACACCGTTTTTCTTCTACTTTTTTTTCACTGGTAGGTGACACACTGATGTGTTTCCAATATCGTCACTGCCTGCTCTGCCCACTCCCTTCTTTTTCTCAACCTTCATTCTTTCATGCAGTCACTACGCTTTGAAGCACGTTGGCCATTGCCGATGGCCTCTATCAGTTCTCGTAACCTCACTTACAAGAATGATTGGTCGAGGAGCTCTACTGTAACGCGTCGTTTGGCGGGTTAAATGCGTGGGCAAGGTGCATTTAATAAACAGTTTGACACTAATGAACTCCCTCGCGTAGTCGTTACGGCGCAGGTACACGAATTCAATGGCGATGTAATGTTATTCTGCACGCCGCTTTTGTGATGGAGCGGTGCGAACTGCCGCTGAATAACGATGCGTTTAACGTTACACGGGTAATTAATTAGTCGGACACGAGACGCCATTCACGTAAGTGCGGAAAGTGTGACTCGTAAGGTTGCGCGCTCTGTCGCTAACGCGTTCAGTACGAAAAAAATAAGTGAAAGTTCTTGTGCATAGACATTTGTTTCATGGAGGTACAAAGCACAAAAAGAATTATGAAAGCTCATATTGTGGTTATGGTAATGTAATTGTTATGCACTTAGTAGATAAGTCTTCTTTTAAACTTTGTCTGAAAAAATTATTCGAGCACCCTCTCTTTTCCGCCAAAAATAGCTCTTTGATCTCTGGCATGTTCATAAGAAGCTAAGAGGTTTTTATGTAGAGGACGTCAAATTCATTTCTTTAATGACGTTTATTAAGCGCTTATGAGGTCAATTCATTAATCCTCTTAATTTCATTAAACCTCAGAGGCAATCGTTAACCGCTCTTTGCCGCATTTTGAAGTTGACTTGCGATGTATGTTCTGAGAAGGTGGTTCACTTATCATCTATATTTTAGCGAGTATTCTTGCTCATATAACTTGCAGGAAGCGTTAAAAGAGAGTTACTAATTCACTAGTTTTTCTTCGAGAAAGAACAGCCCCGTTCGGCAAAACGCTTCTTTGACAGAGAAGAAATATGATGCATGTTGTATACATACCCCACGTTGATTATATGAAAGGTTAGTATGCTGCCACTTGTATTGTACTTCGAAGCATCACGACATAGCAATTTTAACGCAGTGTCTAGTAGTAAACACACACAGGACACGGTGCATGAGTCGCTGGCACAGGGTTATCATTAACGTCGCTCAGTACTAGAGGGATCTATGTGAGCGTGTTGCAAAAAATTATATTAGCTCAGCAGGTACTATAGGCTGCGGATGTGGGCACCCTTAGATGTCTAATATTTGCTGTCTGAAGTGTCCTTATTCTTAGGCTCTGATCATTCAACGACAAGTCGAAGCGCAAGACGTGCTATTCGGAAAGCCCAGCTCAGCTGCAACATGCTTCTGCCTGAAAGGCTCATTCTGACGTGTAAAAAACTATGATTTGTTCGTTTGTGGAAGTGGTCTGATGGTATTTCATTTCCAATCCTGTAATTTGTGCACACTTTCATATTAATAAAGAAGCTATTTATTGATCTGCCTTTCAGCAAATGTTCTGTTGATGGCATAGGACCTTAGTCTACAACGCGACGTTTGATGTCAACCTAATGCATATGCTCGATAGCACTTCACTAGACAACGGCCATCAGAAACTCAGATGTCAGGACTCTATAGACTAACGCTAGCCAATGGTCATCAGAAACTCTCATGTCGGGCCGCTATAGACTTACGCTAGACTATAGTCATCGGAAACTCTAATGTCATAACTCTATAGACTAACGGTGGCCAATTACTACTAGACTCACATTAGGTACGCATTAGGAAAGCGCATTAGACTGACATTAGACAGTTTAAAGATTGTGATGTCGAATGACATTAGCCTGTTTATAAGAGTACATTAAATTTTTTCATAAGGGAGTTGCCAAGTTAGCTACCCCTGCCGACCTCAAGGTCGAGGGTTCGATCCTGGCTGTGGCGGTCGCATTATGACGGAGACAAGATGCAAGGGGCACGTGGGCTGTGCAATGTCAGAGCATGGTAAAGAGCGTCGGGTGGACGAAGTTAACCGGAGCCCTCCGCTAGTGGACGTACGCAATAATCTAATCGTGGTTTTGGCGTGTAAAATCTGGGAAATTATGAGGATGGCTTACCGTTCAGCTCGCCTGCTTCTTCTCAGAAGGCAAGTTGGCCAACCGTAAAGTGTGTTCTGCTCCTTAGAGTAAAGAAGGAGCCGGCAACAAAGAGGGCGTTATTCGCTGTCTCTTTCTCATACTTCGTGATGAGAATGCAAGACGACATAGTATATGAGACAGCCTGCATAACTCTAACGGTATTACATGTACATAGCGAGGAAGCAGTGAAACTAAATCAGCCAGAAAATTTAATAAATTAAACTTTTTTCTGTTACTACTTACATGCGAAGCAGTCAGGGACCAGAAGCGTTTGTTGGGTAAACTGAGTAGTGAGCCTTACGTGAGCTTGCTAGGTAAGAAGATTTTACTGCCGCGTAACTGTTCGTTCTCGGCGGCTCTATATTTTTTTCGTTATCTCTGCGTCTTTCTTCATATCTCTATTTCACGTGTTTCATCCGCTTCAGCAACCCTGCCCCCCCCCCCCCTCCTTTTTTTTTTTGAAGTTTCAGCTCTGATACGGCTTTGCCAAATAACAGAGAAAGTAAAAAAAAACATTACAATAAATTATCAGTTAAATGAAACATTCATATCTTTTTTCAGAACTTGCTAATTTAATAATATGCAGAAGGCGTCACGAAAATTTTTGCGCGAAACTACTGCAATAAGCTACCCTTCAATCTCACCGCCCTGCGTTTTCCGTGCAGGCAGTGTCATTGAGATAAAGCCCAAAGATAAAGTTTAATTATTGTTACGCACG